CCTGGCTGGTGATGCTGAGGCACAGGAGGTCGGGCCCTTTCTGCCTTGTTGATACAGAGATGGGCAGAGGCGTGAATGCAGCAATCGAGGCTGAGCCAGCGGTGGAGCAGAGTTGTTTCATGTCAATAAAAGAGCTCCCTGTCCCCAGTGTCGCCGGGGCGGGGACAGAGAGGTTACGGTGACTAAGTGATCCTAATGCCCAAAGCATTTGGGCATTGCAGCTCCTGCAATCAAATTATCTCTCTTATCTCGGGGGCAACACTGTGCTGGGGGAGAGCTTAAGGAAGTGGCTTGTCATGGCCCATTTCAGCTCCACGGTTTGCTGCCCTTCTCCCCCTCTGGGATCATTATTTTCTCATGAAGACCCAGTAGCTTGAGGATCAAGATGAAACATGGGCAGATCCAACCCCCAGGCTCTGGAAAGCACTGAAGGAGGGTCCTGGGCTGGAGTGGGGACTCTGGAGGGTCCTGGGGTGCTTTTGGACCCCCAGCACACAGGCACTGCTCACCAAAAGCCAGCACAAACCCTGTCACTGTGGCTTGTCTGGAGGCTGAGCAGTGATGAGTGTTTGTCTGTGACCTTTGCAGGAATGTATTTTAAACTTTATTTCTGGTGGATTACAGCCCCTCTGCATTCATAGCCCCTTTCCTGGAGCTGTGGTGACCCAAACCATGACATTCTGTGCAGCCATGGCTGGGAAGGGAACTTCAGGGTAGCACAGTCACCAAGGATGAGTTGAAAATGCCCAAGGTCTTTTGCTGGGTGTCCTGGGGTGATTTTATGTTGCTTGTATCCCAAATTATCTGCTCTGTTTAAGCTGGATATTGAGTTCTGCACCTTTAGGACTGGTTCTGAGACCAAAGGGGGGCTGAAGAAGCTGCCCTGGCTCCCCCACATTCCTGCTCCCAGGCTGTGCTGTCTGCAGCATGGACAGACAGCAGGACAGAGCTCACCTTTGCTTTAGGTAGGTTTTTTTTTTTTAGCTAGCTGAAGCAGAGAAGTTTTCTGGACTGTGACATTTCTTTTTATTGGAACTGATCAGCCCTGCTCTGGACTGAAAACCCAGGAAACTCTGGGAGCTCACCCCTGTGGCACACACATTTTCCAGCTCAGGAGGGACTGAGAGAGACTGAACAACCCGAGCCACACCCCACGACAAGGACTTTCTGAATTTGCCATCTCTTCAGAACAACAAGATCTTCCATTGTTTAAAATTTTTCAATTTCCATCTTTGTGAGTACTTTGCTTGTTAAATAAACAGTTTTTTCCACTCTTCTCTCAGGTTTATGTCTCCCAAAGTGGTGAGGGGGAGGGGCCACTTGAATTTGCTTTCTAGAGGGACCCCATTCGGAGGATTCCTCCCAAATTTGCCCTAAACCAGGACCCTGGGCCAGTGGTGCAGAGTGAGTCCCATCTCCCAGAGGATGCTTTGGTGTCAGAGCTGGAACATTGGCCCTGCCCCAGTTACAGGCAGAGCTGTGGAGGGGCAGCCTGGAACCTGCCCTGGAGATGCTCCAGGTCTGCCTCTGGCTGGGCAGGGGCTCCAACTCGTGCAAAACTGATTTCCTTTGGGCCAGCTGGCTGCTGAGTTGGTTCTCTCAATTCCTTGCTGCTGCTGAATTTGGAATAACAAAAAACGTGTGTGTGTGTGTGTGTGTGTGTGTGTGTGCAGTATAACTTCAGCATATTGATTTTTGGGGCTATTGCTTCTCAGCTGCCGAAGAAGATAATTCACTGCATTATTACCATCCTTGGATTTCACATTTATCCCTCTAAACAGACAGTGAGCTGGTAGTTAATTAAGCTTTTGTTTCAAGCAGCAACACAGGGAAAGGACTGGCTGCTGCAGCAATTCTCCTCGGGGATGAGGGCCCCGGGGGGTGGGGAATGCCACATTCCCATCCCTGGGGTGATGGATCCTGCATGGCTGATCCTGGTGGGAACTGGGAGTGACAGAATTAACTCTGACTGTTGCTCCCTGCTGACCCCAGCACCCTGCCAGGATGGGCATGGAGATTGACAAGAGCAGATTTCTAGATTTTATTTTATTTTATTTTATTTTATTTTATTTTATTTTATTTTATTTTATTTTATTTTATTTTATTTTATTTT